TACCCCCACAACATTCACACTGCGCCAGGTGCTGTTGATGTTATTACTCGCTTACCAAATAACACTTGAAAAACTTGGAAAATAAGCTAACTTGTGTGTGAACTAATTTTCATAAAAAATAAACTTACCCTTGGTTGTATGTACACATTTAATTGAACTCCACCCTGCTTTTCAAAGTCCACTCTTCTGCACTGGCATTTCCAGCTTGACTGCTCGTATATATCTTGGCTTTATGTTACACGTTGAGTTGTAAGATCCACCGCAACGAGTGCTACGCCTAGTGTAGACGTTGTTGATCTGGTGAGTGTCCATACGTACACAGCGAGGGCTTTCTTCATCAAGCGATTATATTGTAGCTGACGCTCAAAAACGCCTTAATACCGGTCTCTAGCAACAGACAGTCCAATTTCAAAGATGCTAACACCAACCAATTTCGCGTCTCGTCGTTCCTGGTGCAATAACAACAAACATCTAGACGCGAAAATATTCTTTATCGTTATACAGCCATTATGCATAGTTCTTCAGACACGGCAGTGTGGTGTGTCGTGTGTGTGTGATGTGTGTGTGTGCTGTGTGTGTGTGTGTGGTTGTGTGTGATGTGTGTGTGTGCTGTGTGTGTGTGTGTGTGTGTTGTGTGTGTTTGTGTGTGTGTGTGTGTGTGGTGTGTGTGCCGCGCCCGCGCGCGCGCGTGTGTGTGTGTTGTTGTGTGTGTGTGTTGTGTGTGTGTGTGTGTGTGTGTGTGTGTGATGTGCTGCGTTGTTGTACGTGTGTGTGCTGTGTCGTGTGGTGTGTGTGTGCTGTTGTGTGATGGTGTGTTGAGTGTGTGTGGTGTGTGTGTGCTGTGTGTGTGTGTATGTACTGTATAGTTCTCCTCTCTTGCCAACATTGCGTGTTCATTTTCATTAACATTAATTTGCCATATCAAAATCAAATCAAACAATTATCGGTCGCGAATATATACGACCCAACAGAAGAATATTGGTATACGGATGACAGGCGCTGCCTTCACGCGCACTGTAGCATCCTTCTCTATCATGTGTTTGATCACTTTGTGGAAGCGCGTTTCGTACTGTAATGTACTGTACTGTTACTGTACTGTACTGTATGCATCATAGAAATAATATACTAGTTTAGACTTAATCTTGTATCTCTTTAGACTAGTATCTCTATTTATATTTTTTTTTCTATGTTGTATTGCATTGTGCTGTATTGGCTGCAACGTTTCATTACTTTACGTTATTCATTGTGTCTCTTGGTAAAGTAATTCAATTGTCCTTCACGCAATTTACGTAAAATTCTGTATGTTCGCTACTGCCGCTGCTGCTACTGCTGCTGCTGCCATGCTGCTGCTGCTGCCTACTACTGCTGCTGGCCTGCTGCTCTGCTGCCTGCTTCCTGCGGGCTAACTACGACTACTATACTACTAACTATCTACTACTACTACTCACTACCAGGGGACCGGCGCAACAGGGGGGGGGCAGGGGCGCGGTCGCCCCCCTATCATTTGCCATAGAAAAAGAAAGTAAGACAAAAGAAAAAGAAAAGTAAAAAAAGAAAAAGAAAAAAGAAAAGAAAAAGAAAAAGAAAAGGAAAAGAAGAAGAAGAAAAAGAAACATCTTGCCAAATGGATGGGGGGTGGGGGGTCACCGCCCCCCCCCCCATCATTGCCCCAAGAAAGGGTAAATAAAGAAGAAGGATTCTTGCAAACATAATAGGCGGGATCGCCCAAAAATGGAGTGATGTAGCCTGACAAGCTGGGTCCACTTTCCTAAAAAAATCGAAAATTAAGGTGTCGAAATTCATTCCATATAAAACTGTGCTTATTTTGATAATCGATGTCATGGGTGTTATTTCTTGGCGAATCCCCAAGTTGGACCATCATTTGTCGATGATTGCCTGCTTTCCCGGCGCGAAAAGGTAGGCCCACACTTGAGGGTGTTAACAAACTTATAAAATTTATAATTACAACGTCCAGGACTGACCTCTAATAATACTCTACATGCTATCTTATTTTACCTCCACCCACGGAGTGGAGGGGACGGTTATATGATCGGGTCTGTTGCGTTCAGTGTACCACGTTACGAGGGGAGGTTTATTATGATCGGGTGTCTGTGCGTTTCGTGTACACGTTAGCATGTGTGCGTGTGGTGTTGTGTGTGTTCGGTGTGTGTGTGTGTGTGTGTGTGTGTGTGTGTGTGTTGCTGTGCGTTGTGTGTGTGTGTGTGTGTTGTGTGTGTTGTGTGTGACGCGATGCATATTAGCGCGTCAGCGAGCGAGCCAGCCCACAGCCGGGCTGCTGCTGACTGAAGCGGCGAGCGAGCAACATGTACGCTGGCGTATATCGTGGGTTATCTCGTGTGTTCGTGAGTTCTGGCGTATGGTCGTATGTCGCTGGCGTGAGGATTGCTCTCTCCGTTGAGTGCCCTCTGTTCTAGTTTTAGTTACGTGCCCTGTGGTATGGCGTGCGTGTGTGTGTTGTGTGCGTCGTGCCGTGTGCTCTGCGTTCATTCTCTCTCCGGGCGTCATGTTTTTCTCGCCTCTACATAATACAAGAATTTATTGGCTTTCAAGTGCTCAGCATAGATTTTAAAGCAAACGCTGTTCCTTTCACGAGTTCCGTGAGACCCCCTCTTTATAACGTGTCTAGTTTCATAGCATTGAATTTTAACGAAAATCCGTAGCTAGTTCCGGAAGACCCATTTTCACATAGCCGGTTCCAGAGCATACAAATTCAACAAACATGTTAGTTCCAGAGACCACCATTTTCAGTTCTTGAGTTAGTTCAGAGCCCCCCCCCCATTTTTAACTGTCGCGAGTGGCCACATACCAGATACCTTTACCATAATTGTTGGGGTGAGTCTCCCCCCGTCGGGTTTCATCTCCGTGGTATATGATTGCTCCTTGGTTCCTGTACAATTTTTTAGTCAGCAATTTGACGGGCTTTGATTAGCAAACTCTGAGAGCTTCCCGGCCCCTGCCAGGGGCTCGCGCCCTGGACCCCACCAGGGCACTAAGCGGGCCCTGAGCGCCGGAATTCATCAACGTGCGCAAAGTGTATTGCGTACACAGAGTTTCTACGAGTACGTCGCAAGCTCGTAGCGTGCGACTGCATCAAGCGTAGCGTAGCACCCTTGCGATACGCAAATGTGTGGATGAATTCCAGTGTAAATCCACAACGCCATCGTAGCTGCTGGCTGTTGAGGAGCGTGTCTAGCATAAACCAATCACACTGGTGCGACACATACCATAGGAACCAAACTGACGCCTCTCTTGTATTTGTAAACCATATGGTGTTCTCAATAAAATAATGCACTGCTGCGGTATGCTTGGAACACCGCGAGAAATTTTTCGGAGCTGGTTTACGGCACCTCCATCAGCCTGTGGTAAAGTTAAGCCAAAGGTTTACTAAATTTTAGCTTCGATGAAATTCGCACCTAAAACGAGCTCCATTTTAGTGTAATTATTGCAAATTCTCCATTCGTAGCGTGAGGGTGAAACAGTGAACACCCCCTCCCACACGCCCTCCCCCCGCTCGGTCGCTTGGCTCCCTCGCCTGCGTCGCTTCGCGCCCGAGACAGGGGCGGTGATACAGGGGGGGTGGGGTCACGAGTCCGGACCGCCCTTGCCTCGCGAAAAAAAACGCATCCTGACGGGCGCTGTAATGTTTAAAAATTTCGGGGGATGGCCCCCAAGACCTCCCCTTTCGCTCTTCGCCAACTACGCGGTTACGGCTAGACCCCCCTGGTACAAATCTTGTACACGCCCCTGGCCGAGCAAATTGCCAACATTGAAAAACGAACCCCTCCCCTAATAGAAAGCTGGCTACGCGCAGTTCTGCGCTTGCGTACGACGAAATCATACGAAAAATTTATAAATAGCCTGTGTTGATGAATCGCAAACTAAGCAACGTCCGATACTAAAGATTTACGCCAAAATTTTTGCGTACGCAGCTTTTGATGCAATTCATGAATCTACCCCCTAGACTCACCCGTTCAGTGCCAAGCGCCACACGGGATCAGTCTTACAGTTCCCAGGGGGCGTGTAACACGGTGGGGGGGGTCCGGGGGGTCCGGAACCCCCCTGCTCGCGCAGAAAACGCATCTGAGAGGGTCTAATTTCAAAAATTTCCTACCAGACTCCCCCTTCGCGTGCTCCTGTACACGCCCTTGGTTTCGCCCCTCCTAAGAAAATACCCTGGCGCCGCCCCTGTTTATAAGTATATATAATGGTATCTTGAGTAATAATTTATAAATATACAAACACCTTACGAAAGAATTCGTTTGTTGTGTTAAATAACATTTATTATCAATTTTAATGTGTCATGTTAATATCTTTCTTTTCTTTTATAGATTTAGTCATGCAATTATATATCGCATTTGTTCTGTGATTTTGTAAAACCAGTTTCCATGATGCACCCAATCAAATAACAATCCACAGAAAGGATAATGCCCTAGCCCTAATTTAAATACTATCCCTCAAACATGATTATTATTTTGAATCTCATTTTTCTCTCGATTCCATACATATAAATATGGTTTGAGATTGTGCTTAGCCGTGTTTAGCCTAATAGGACACACGTAAGAGTAATTAAGCGTTTATTTTGCGATAAATCCATTAATCTATGCTGTTAGTGTTAGCAAAAGTCTCAACATCCAACTTAGTTGTTTAGCAGAATCATAGTTGCTTAAAATAAGCTTGGACGATGGCATTTATTGCCATTTTATTGGTGAGACAAGCTTCAAGCAACTTGACAGAAAAACGACTAGATTGGTAGTTGATACCGTCGATACGTGCGTAAATATCCGATTCCTCGTAAAATTAAACTCCTTAATAAATTTAACTCGTTAATAAATTCCTCGTACATTAAACTCCCGAATTAATCAAACTCGTTAATAAATTCCTCGTAAACTAAATTTACTCCTACATCGTCGTGAGATCCGGTGAACTCATCCCGAGACTAGACGATCGCATCACCGACGTGAAGACTCGATGTTTTCCCCTCAAACATCCGGAGAAACTTCCGGACTCTCTTCCACCTCCTCCTTCACTCCTCCCCTGGCGGACATAGATTCGGCACCACCACCCTCTCTGCTATCTGCAGGGCTACCCCGTTCATCGCTCGCTGCATTACCCGCGGCTTGTTCACGCACACCGACGATTACGTTGTCGGTGGCACTCTCTCGCCCACCGCTCGTTCTGTCGTCCGCAGAGATTTCCCGATCGTGCTCAACTTTGCTATCAGCGAGGCTATCCTGTCTACTCTCCACTGTGTTGTCGGCAGAGATATCCCGACCACCGCTCATTCTGTCATCTGCAGAGATAATCTGATTGTCGGCGCCTCCCCTCTCTTCGTCGCCCTCCCCGCCCGCCGTGCCGCCATCTTGATCAGCCATCGCCGTCGGCTCACTCTCCCCGTCGGCGCGTTCCGCGGGAGCGTCCGGCGGACTCGCGGCCGGCCCGCCGTCGCCCCCTGGTGTCACGCTCTGGGCGCCGTTAGCTTTGCGGTTGCTTCGCGACGACCGGTGACCTGTAGATTGAAACAACGTGAAGTTTCCCGCTTTAAAAAAAATAATGATCAATCACGAAAATGAAGTCAGTGTTGAGATAAAAAACTGTGAGCCGACGCTTTCATGATGTTCATTTCTCATTCCAGCGAACGCGCGCCGATTACTCAGCCCTCGACGAATTTTTATTCACGAAATAATCCTAAATATTCTTTAATACTCATTATTAAATTCATTTCATTTATTCTGTAATACTCATTATCATTATTTCATCATTTTACTTTACTATTTTAATCATGGAATTTTTCCAAATTTACAAGTAAATTATTTTTTGAAATGATTCAATTTTACGAATCGATCACATCTACGAAGTAGTAAACGCATAAATCTCTACGACGTCAACGCGCGAGGCATCGGTCGATTCGCGCTAAGACGCGTTTAATTACCTTGACACTCGACGCTGTCTCTCAGTCGCTTCGCCCGACAGCAGATCTTGCACAAGTTGAATTCGCACTTCAGTCCCTGCCGAGAAAAAGATCCGAGGTGAGAGGTGAAGAGGTCGAGACGAAAGCCGCTAAAGGTCGTACGAGATTTTTAATGGTGTCAAAAATGTAGTCTTCGTACGGAACATTGCGCGTGAAAGGTACGTAAAGACGAATCGCGCGTTTATCAAAACCGTTACACGTGTTGTGAAACGCATTACCGCACAAAATTCTGCCGCTGCAAGTCAACAGTACTAATGTAATGTATGGTCAGTCGCTGTACGGATAGACCCGTGAAATTAGAAGTGAAAATTATCACAGATTTTCTCTTACACAACTAGATAAGGTGCAAAGATCCAAGTTACTAGCTTTCTTTTGAACGGAACGTCCTACTTATGTCTGCTTGTCTGCTAGTTGCTGGTCCTACACTAACTAACTTTTCAACCATCTATCCTGATACAATCCACTCATCTCTCGCTTCTTTCTCTCACCTTCTCTCACCTTCGTGTTCGTACATCCCGCACACACCTCCTCCACCCCTCGCTCCACCTTCTCTCACCTTCGTGTTCGTACATCCCGCACACACCTCCTCCTCCCCTCGCTCCACCTTCTCTCACCTTCGTGTTCGTACATCCCGCGCACACCTCCTGCCTCGGAACCTTCTCCACGGAAAAATCAAGTCGTGGATTCCGCCTGAGCCGCTTTAGTTTCTTCCTGGAGAGGGCGACACCGTCCACTATGACCTCGTCCATGATGCGCTTGCTGGGTTCGGATGCAGCCGCTCTCGCCGCCGCCGCCGCCGCCGCCGCCGGAGCGCAGCACTTCTCAGGGATGCTGCGATTGCCATGGAGACAGAGAGTTATCCACCGTGACCCAGTTTAGAGAGGAGGGAAGGAGAGAGAGAAAAAATGGGAGCAATGTAGAGATAGGGAGCGAAAGAGTGAAAGAGAGAAAGGGAGAGGGAGAGAGAGAGAGAGAGAGAGAGAGAGAGAGAGATAGAGAGAGAGAGAGGGGGAGGCAGAGGTAGAGAGATAGAGAGAGAGGAGACGAGAGGAGAG